GCAAACTGCACGCGGTCTTGACAGGCTCCTTGGCTTGATGCACACCTGGGAAGGGCAGAGAAGCCCATCCAGCAGGTTTAGCCTCAGATTCAAACCCATCCCCCCCAACACCGCTCCAGCTACCTGGGTTGGGTGGACGGCAGGCATGGAAATGTGTACTGGAGGTGTCACCTCATCCCCAAGTTTACAGTTTTAGAATGAAAATATGTTTTAAACATGGTTGGATGTTAAGCTGGAAAGTGCTTGTTAACTTAACTGGTTGCTCTAGACTTCAGTTCTTCCTCTTTTTAGCAATCACTAGCCAAAAAATAACTGCACACCTGTGTCACCTGGTTCTGGGAGTTGGAGGACCTGGCCAGCTAGGGGATTGCTGGTTTCGTGCTTCCAGTAGAGAATGCACAGCAGTGCTTGAGTCCATGGAGCTTAAGTTTTGCCTCTTGGCTCAGTTCACTTCTGCAGAGGAAGGAAGGGTGGGGCCCAGGGCCAAGGATACAGAGATTTGATTGGTACATTTGTTTCCACTGTCTTTTCCAAGAGCTAAATGGATAATGTCCATTGTTTCATCTGTCAAGATGTACTGACTGGTGAAGAGTTAGATCATGCTGGCTTTCCTAGTCTCAGTCATACTCCAGCCTGACCAGCCTCCTGCCCTGTGGTATTGTCCATATGGGATGCACACTGACTTTGTGTACTCAAAGACAAGTCAGGTAAGTGATTTTGTAGACTAAAAAGAAGTGCCCATGGAATCGTTGGTTCTGGGTGACAAGAAGAAAAAGAGGAAGAGATACAAATATTACACAAAACAAACACCATTTGAATAGCCTCTCTGGTGAAATGTTTGTTCATATCTTTTGTCCTATGTTTTGATTGATGTCCTAGGACTTCTTAAGGTCGCAGCAACACCACCACAAAAACTACAAAAGCTTAAAAACATTAATCTTAAAAGCTCAAAACAAGCCTAATTTAGCTTGGAGTGGATTCAGGTACCAATTTCTTGGGCCCAGGCCATTGTTCTGCATGCTCGGTCACCAATTGGCCCTTTTATTCAGGCAGGTGTTTCTGCTATAGAATGAGTTTCCTTCAGTTACCTAGAAAGAAACTGCAGGAACAGTGGGCTGCCACAGAGTCCTTGCAGGTTTTAATTATAGCCATACTACACTGAAGAAGTGATATAAGTAGAGCTATCTGACAGGAGATGCTTTCTGCTTGGTCTCATTCCATGGCAAAGGATGCAATGAATGTCTAACACACCATCCCTCCAAATACTCCCATCTCAACAACACATAGGCCAGATGAGTGTTGTGACAGCCTGGAGTCCTGAAGTGAGAGGACACACACACACACACACACACACACACACACAAGCTGCACTGGAAACTCACACATGATTTGTCAGCCTTTATTAACCAAGAGTGAAGCCAAGCCCTAGAGTTTCCTTTTAAAAAACCCAGCCTTACAGTAAACAATGATTCAATTCTTAATGACTTTTAATTTTATGTTCAATACTACATAGCAAGAATTGATCACTTTCCAATGACTTTTTTTCTTCTGAGGTTAAAATACAAATGCAAAACAAGTTAAAATAAGATTCTCCCCAATGATTTAAAAGTAATTCCAATCAACATTTCAAATACTATGTGTAGAACACAAGACCAAAAAAAAAAAAAAAAAAGACCTTAAAACACTTTTGTCTTTGAGGTAGCACAATGATGATGCTGAATTTGATTTTTTTTAAATTACAGTGAGCTTAAGAAATCTACCTTTTGCTCAAAGTTGGGCTAAATGGTTTTCTGCAAATCCCCTATGAGGTTAGTGACAGTGCCCCGCCCCCCATTTTTTTAAAATTTTTTATTTTTTAAAGTATAAAGATAGCCCTGCAGTGTGTAAAAGGAAACCCGTGGAGAGGCTGCTTCCCATAAAATAGACATTAGAATCACTGAGGAACGTCAGCAGTCAAGACAAGAGGAACAAGAGGTAACTGTAATGAAAAACCAAAACAACTCGTATCTTGACAAGATTGGGTTATAAGTGCATGTTAAAAACAAAAATTTCAACACCAGCCAACTGAAAACAAAAGATAAAAGATGACATTCATGGGTCTTTCCCCCTTTTCTCTGTGCATTATCTGCTCTTTCACTGTTTTTAAAAGAAAGGGTTATTTGTGCACTGTTACATGACATGGAAATGCTGTGGGCCCATCTCTCACCATTTTCCACTACTGTGAACAGAGTAGCTGGACAGTCAGGAGGATGAGAGCATGACCTCTCCTGGCTTGTCTACTTTGCTGCTGAGTTTGCTCATTAAACTGCTCAAAGAAAAGCTTGGAGAATCCATAACAGTGATACGTAACACAATTATATATAAAAGGACTACTGACTAAGAGGACAAAAAGCATTAAGAACCCTTCCTTCAGAGAATACAGCTAAGAGAAGAGAGTGGGTGGGATAAGCTGGGGACCAGAAGGAAGGACAGTACTGGGGGTTGGACCTCAAGGCTTTCAGGACCATCTAAAATCTGCCATCCAAAATCAACTACAAAGCCAGAAAAGAGAGCATGAAGCTCAAACCCACAGAAAAGAAAGAGATCTGTTCCCAACACCCACTCCTCCTGGTGATATTCAATGGCTAAGATGAACTTGGTCAGGTGTCTGGTACCCTAGTAATGGCTGTGTCCTATTTCACTCACACTCGTCCCTTTAATGTCTCTCTCAAGTGAGACCCTGGGGGCCCAGCGTACAGTGAAGGTCTGGACTGCTAATCCATATGCCCATCTACAGTTAGGGCTGAAGGATTTAAACCCGACTGTACTCTGGAAACGACCAACATCAGCAAGTCAGGGGTGTCAAGGAAAAACTAGCCTGGGATGTGTGAAAAGGCCCACTCCTAGCAGCCTGCAGGAGTGCCACTGGCACAAAGCTCACAGCCAGCTTAACTAATGCTGACATGTGAGGTGGGGAAGGGACATCTGCTTGGCACTCAGACAGAGGCCACACACAGTCTAGGGCTGGGTCTCTGTGTCACTCTCAAAACACAATGTACCTTTGCAAAGCACAGATGTAGGTCCTATTAAAGTTCAAGACCTTCTTTCTAGATTTATTTGATAATAAAATAACACTATAGACAAGAAAAGCCTGAGGGAAATGTGTGATTACCACACGGCCTCTCCCAGTACTAGCTGCCTGTTTGGGGAGTTAATAGTCACAGCCTTTCACAATTCACATTGCAGTAGCTGCAATGCAAGCTACTCAGGGCAGTCCAAAAAGGCTCTTTCTGCTTTAACTTTAAAGAGCCCAAGAAAAAGGGAAAAGTACCAAGGCTGGGGTGGGTTGCCCACTCTGGAAATCTCTCAGCCATTGTGTTCATGGCAAAAGCTGAGCCTAGCTTATGTGAACACTGGAAGGTGACTGTGTGGGGCTGTGTCATTATCTATAACAGAATGACTCAAGCCCCAATAATTCTCTTAGGGATTTATTGAGTTACAGGTTGAAAAAACAAAATATCACATTGGAAAAGGCCTATTGATTTAATATAAACTTAGCCATGACATCCAAATTTGTTATTATGTGAATTTCATATGGCTCCTAAAATCTCTTGTAGCATCTTATTCTATGTATTCTGAAGAAAAAAACACAAAACCTTTCTTTTGAAATATAGCTAGTTAATTAACATAATTTACCAGAATTCCACCTGGTATAAAAAGTCAAAAAAATTTTAAATATAAGCTAAATTGTCTTCCTCTGGGATTAACAACTAGAACTCCAAGGATCCCAATATGTCCATTATAAAAGCCTTTGTAGTAATTTTATGAAATTGGAAATGATGCCATCTTTTGAAAACTAACTAATAGAGCTGATCTTTAGGATGAATGCTCAGTCAGCTAACAAACTCCACATATGTGAATATGTCCTAGAAGAATTCCCTAAATAGAGAAATATTTTTTCTTAATTAAAAAAAAAATAGCTTCTTTCTCTTTATAGAGTTTAAAAATTGATGATTCGATAGCAAAATAATACAACTCTGGAGAAGAAGGGCCGTTTTTATACACAACTTCTTGATGGCACAGTGCCATTAGCTGGTAGGAGATGGCAGGAGTTGCCCAGGAAACTATTTGGGTCAGATGAAGTGATGGTACCACCAGACCCTGGCTCCTTGTGAATGGACAGTAGTTAATTTGTGCACATGGCACAGAGGTTTTACGGAAAACCAAAGCAAAACAAAATCTACTCTAAAAAAAAAAAAGAAATCCAAAATACCCAACCCAAAAACCCTTTCCTGGTTCTCTGCTACCTATAAAATGTGCCCACCCCAAAATTTCTGCTCTCATATGGGTCCTACTGATGGGTCAGTTTTCTCTGGGGTGCTGACCTGTTGGGTCCTGGGCAGAATCATCATGGGTGTTTGGAGTGATAATTTAGAGATCAGCTGTACACAGCAGACAGCACAAGGCTACAGGACCACAGGCCTCCATGATATTAGCCGCCATTTTCTACTGTAAAAGCAAAGGATACAAGTGTGAACAGATGTGGACTTTCTCAAAGGACAAATGAGGAGATCCAAGGCTACTAACATTTCCTCCCTTGAGAAAGATTGGGGGAGGATGTCTACGTTGCACCATAGGTTTCTGCAGACCTTGTAGTAACTTCCAAAAGCAATAGCAGCAGCAAGAGAGGGAAAGGAGGATGTTTTACACTTTGGACTTTGTATCAGGCACTTAAATTGTTGGAGAGACATGCCATTCTGAACCAAAGATGTGAAAACAGGGTTGGAGTAATCATTATAAATAGTCTAATAATGGACTTTCAGAAGCAAAGTGGAGGTGTGGGTTGGACCTCTGCTCATCTTTTAGTGCTGACTTTCAAGTCTTCTAAATGCCCATGGCCACAGCAAGGCAGCGGTGGCAGCAACAGCTGGAACGATTCTGTCATGTCTGTTTTCTGTGTGTTCTGTGGCTGACTGGGAGGTTTTGGTGTCACACTGAGAAGGCTCTGGGATGTGGCACATCTACTGCACAGGGTCATTCAGATCCATGCTGGAACCAAACATCTTCACCAGCTGTTCCTCATAGTGTGAGATATTCCTCTTCATGATGTCCATGCAGGGCCCCAGCAGTCTCTCAAACGCCTGTACATCCATAACTGCATTGTTAAAAAGAGGTGAGGGAGAAAATGAATTATCTACAGCAAACATTCAAGTCATTTCTCTCATGTAAAACTTTCCCTAAATACACCCACCACTCATGCTACAGTAGATTAGACTTGGGATGCTCAGCACTTAGAAAAAGGGAGGATGATTCTCCATAAACACAGCATGACTCTGTCATCAAGTTTTCAAGAGTTCAGCCGTACCTGTTCTCCCCACCCCCTACAGTCCTGGGTACCCACCACTTTTATTGCTCTTTTCACAGGGCCCTGGGGCCTGTGTGCCTGCTTTACTCACAAGCTGTAGGCAATGCTCAGGAATGTTTGCTAAAAGAATACATCTCTGGTTGGTCACATAAGTTGTCCAGGCTCAGATGTGTGTGAGAACTGGCAGAATAAGTCTAGGCTTGTTGATGAAGCAAAATATTACATGCTAGAGAAAAAAATTAATAAAGAATTTTTCTTACCTAAGCATTTGACATCTCCCACTGCATAAGCTGAAGCAGCTCTGGGTTTGTTGGTGACCAGTGCAAGCTCTCCAAAGTATTGCCCCTTATGACAGCGGGCGATCTCAACCTCCTGGTTCCCACCATCCTTACTTGTCTTAGTCTAGAGAAAGAAGAGAATGTGACCTGGGCTGCCTCCAGAATCATAGTTGGTCATGTCCAATTGCATGCACTTGCACTCTTTTCTCAGCATAATTCACCTGAGAGACTTGAATTGGACCTTATAAGCTGCATGGGCTAGTTATAGTGGTCTAGTTTAATCAGACAAGTTGGCATGTACCTAATATTTTTTAGGCAGTGGCTAAGGTGAGGAGCAGACCATTTTCTTTAGAAGATTTTATAAATACATAAGTATATACTTTTTTTTTTTAAAGAAGATGATGACCTCTTAGGGAAAGCCAAGGCCATTTACTATTTCTTTTTAAGTAATGTTAATACTTCTCTTAGGTAATGAATGACAATCCTGGAACTGTGTCTTTCTTGAGCTTCACAGTAACATACTTTAAGTATTATTTGTATTAGTATTAGTTTCATCTTTCTTATTAAATAATATCTGCAGTTTCTTATTATTTTAAAAATCCATCTGCTGAACAATCATTTTAGTAAAAAAATTGTTTTTCCAGATTTATAAAGTAGACTTATTCTCAAGCTCTAAGCACCACTTTGTTGTATGCAGCTTAACATTGAAACTAAAGGTCAGTACTGTTAACTGTTGGTACATGGAGGGGATTTCAATCATTGTAGTGAAGAAAAGTATATAATTTGTTAAATGTAAAACTGATGATCTGGTCTATAGACCTTCACTCAATTCACAATAAAAAGTTCAAAAAAACAGAAAGGGATGAAGGTCCATTACCTACTCCATAATTTTTCCTCCTTCCAAACTTCTGCCCTGACCAGTCCTTGTTTTGCAAAGTTGGTCATGCTCGCTCAAATCAACACACTCTTTCTAATTTCTGTAGCATTTCTTAGGAATGTAGAAAGGTTTGTGCCCACCTAGTCTTTCTCCTCTAACACACAGTCAAGTGCACCAGCTCTCTGGGGTTTTGTTACAATGTTGTTGTTAAGTGCTGTCAAGTCAGCTCCCATTGATAGCGACCCTATATTGGGTTTGGTGGGTTTGAACCACTAACTTTGTGGTTAGCAGTCCAGTGCTTATCCTACAGGGCCACAGCTGGGTTCCATTTGTTACAACGCAGATTCTGAATTCAGCAGGTTTACGACAGAGCCCAAGACTGCATTTCTGACAAAACTTCCTCTGTGCACCACAGTGCTGCAATGTGGCTGGTCCTATTCTACGATCACAGCAGGTGCACTATGCTATGATCATTGTTGTTGTTGTTGTTAAGTGCCGTCGAGTCGGTTCCGGTTCCGACCCATAGCGACCCTGTACAGGGTTTCCGAGGCTGTAAATCTTTACGGGAGTAGAAAGCCTCTCGTCTTTCTCCTGCAGAGCAGCTGGTAGTTTCGAACCGCTGACCTTAAGGTTCGCAGCCCGATTCGTAGCCACTACGCTACCAGAGCTCCTTATGCTATGATCATAATAGGTTGTAAATAATATTTGAGAATTGTACAAACATACGAGGGGGCTTCAAAAACGTTTTGGAAAAATGAAATGGAAAGATAATACAGTTTCCCCACAAACTTTCTGAAGCTCCCTTATGTACCGGTAGTCTAAATACTGATAGAAATGTTTACCACTTCAAACAATTATGTCATTTGAAATTGTTGCTGTTAAGTGCCATCAAGTAAGTTCTGACTCACAGTAACCCTGTATAGGGTTTCCAAGGAGCTGTTGGTGGGTTTGAACCACCAACCTCATAGTTAGCAATAAAGCGTTTATCCTACAGCGCCATACCAGAATGCCTTCATTTGAAATACTGCCTTTTAAATTAAAAATCAAGCTATCTTGATCTGCTACTGGGGGGTAAATGAAATTAGTCTGGTTTAACTGCTTATAGGAGTCCTGGTGTGGCGTTGTGGGTTACTGTGCCAGACTGCAAAGCCGTTTGAGCTGCAAGGTCGATGGTTCAAGCTCACCAGCTGCTCCTCAGAAACCCTACACAGGGTCACTATGGATCAGAACTGACTCGACGGCACTTAACAACAACAACAAACTGCTTATAAGAATGCATTTTTCAAATTGAGAGTGTGCCTTGAAGTCTTACATAATATATGTAATGGACATTTGAGAGAAATGGTGCCACTTTTTAAGCTACATCTTTGTTTACCTGAGTACCAGTAAAGACCATGTCTTTTGTAGTAAAAATCTGTATTTTCTTTGTGTGTAATGTGTGTGGGGTCACACTACCTTACAGTAATCATATTTCTATGTCATTCTTCAATCTTCTTTTAGTAATTCTTAAAAAGGCTTCATGCTAGATTACTTTAGTAATATATACCTTTTAAAAAAACAAATTCTATACTCTTCCACCCATAGGTTATTAGTCTATAGGTCCCCTAGCCATTAGATGGTCATAATAAGAACTGTCCTAGACACCTCCCCTGCAGTACTTGGAAGCTTTTTCCATCTTTAGTGCCATTTATATATTTTTTATTATATAAAGGGGTCTCAAAAAGTTTGTGGAAAAATGCCAATACCTTTTAATTCCATTTTTTCACAAACTTTTTGAAGCATCCTCATATAATTTTTCCACTTTATATTAGACTGTTTATCATTTTCTTACTGATTTGGGGACCAGTATTTCCTATATTATTAATTAAATTTCTGTGAGCAACAAAAGCACAGACAGTCAAGAACAAGGAAAACACAAGAAATCGCTATTTGTCTTTGTAAGTCACATAGCTATGAGGATTTTTGCACACCAAACACAGTTCACATTATTTAAAACCAACAGTTACTTCCTGTGCATACACCTGGCATCTGGATCTTCACTGGCTTAACTTACACCATCACACAAAAACTCACCTTGCTTTTAATCAAGATGCTCACTTCACCGGACTCTATAATGTAAAAGCTGTCAGCCTTGTCACCCTGAAAGAGGAGAGGAGGTTGAGTTCAGAGACATACATGTGCATTGAGCTCTCATTTGTATTTATTTTCCAATTCTCTAAATGAATCTAACAAATGCAGAACATTACGAATTTCCTAAACACTGGGGATGTCAGCTCAACTATGACTGGCATGCATCTCTCATCTCCTAACATGGAGTATTCACATTTCTACAAGTGTGCTTAGGCTGCCAACTGCACAGAATGTTGGTCTGTTATGGTTACCCAATGACCGGGCCAGTAAGCAAACCTGCTGTATATAGACAAGTGTCAAGGTGACTCCTGGCTACCCCTGAGGCATAGGGTTCAGGGATGATCCCGATTATCAAAGGCACAAGGGCAGAGTGAACCTGGAGAAGGCTCTGCTTGGTGAGGGAGGTTCTTTGATGTGGGTTGATGCTTGTGTTCTGTTTATTTTGATTTTAAACCACCTAGCTAAACCAGTCATTCAGGTAATTCAACAAATAATTTACTAAATACTACATACTAGGTACTGTTCTAGGGATGTGATCTAGGTCAGTAAGAAAAAAAAATCCTTGTATTGTGGAACTTACAGTCTAGTAGTGTAGACAATATATAATCGACAATGCATCATTAAATTTTGTTGATGTTGGATATTTAACTGCTATATGAAAAAAGTGGAGCAAGGCATGTGGAATTGGGAGCACTAACTGTTGTATATAGTACACAATAGGCTTTACTGAAATAAAAAGTACCATGTGAGCAAAGGCTTTAGTCTTAACTTCTGGAATAATGACTGCATAAGATTTACAGCCTTGGAAACCCTGTGTAGGGTCACTATGAGTCAGAATCAACGCCATGGTACTTAACAACAACAGCAACATTGGATATGGCAATACTAATCATGTGCTTTTGTTACATGTGGGTCTTGTATCTCCCGTGAGAATCTGTAGTTCTGAGCATGGATAAGGCGTCATGTTCTTTGACCACTACACAGAGCTCCAAATGGGCAGCATATATAGCTGAGGCAGAAGCTTCTAAACTAATCTAGTCCATGTGAGTAGAGTCACATGGAAGTTGCGTTGCTACATTAAGGAGGTATCCTACATTCAGCAGAGCCAAATTACTATGACATTTTAGCATTATATAAATAGCTGTGTGAAAAAACATAGGAAGCCATGAAGGAAACTGAGGAGAAGCCAGAAGCAGGAAAGGTTTCTAGGCTCAAGGAGAGATTTTCAGAAAGGACAATGCAGCCACCAGTATTCAGTATCACTGGGAGGTCAAGAGTAATAAAGATTAATATGTGGAAACATTCCTGTGACCTAGAAGGAATGCACTTTAGAGTAGGGGAGCTTTCCAGAGGTGACAGGTGTTGAAGGAAAGTGCATGAGTCCTTTCATTTAGACAGATGTGCAATATTAATAACTTATAAGTACTCAAAACGTATTTTAACCTATGTATATGCCAATGTATACCTATGTATGAATGTGAAAATCATCAAATAATATCACATGCAAATAAAATTTTGAAGATAAATTTTAAAATGGTTGCAGCAGTACATTGACAGTCTGCTGCAAGAAATTCAAGCTGGATTCAGAAGAAGACATGGAATGAGGGATGTCTGATGGATCTTGGCTAAAAGCAGAGTATAGCAGAAAGATGTTTACTTGTGCCTTATTGACAATGCAAAGGCTTTCAACTGAGTGGACCATAACAAGCTATGCATAACATTATGAAGAATGGATATTCCAGAACACTTAATTGTGCTCATGCCTGTACACAGACCAAGAGGCAGTTGTTCAAACACAACAAGGGGACACTTGTTGTTGCTGGGTGCCATCGAATCAGTACCAACTCATAGCAACCCTATGTACAACAGAATAAAACACTGCTCCATCTGGAGCCAAGCTCACAATTGTGTGTTTGAGCCCACTCATGCTGCCACTGTGCCAATCCATCTCATTAGGGGATTTCCTCTTTTTCTCAGACCTTCCATTTTACCAAACATGATTATCCTTCTCCATTCTGATAATATGGTCAAAGTATGAAAGATGAAGTCTGGCCATCCTGGCTTCCAAGGAGCACTCTTGGCTGTACTTCTTCCAACACAGATCTATTTGTTCTCTTGGCAGTCCAGGGTACTTCCAATATTCTCCTCCAAAACCATAATTCAAATACATCAATTCTATGGTCTTCTTATTCATTATCCAACTTTCACATGCAGATGAGGTTATGGAAAATACCATGACTTGTATCAGGTGCACCTTAGTCCTCAAACTGACATCTTTGCTCTTCAACACTTTAAAGAGGTCTTGTGCAGCAGATTTGCCCAATGCAATATGTCATTTGATTTCTTGACTGCTGCTTCCATGAGTGTTGATGCTTGATCCAAGTAAAACGAAGTCACTGACAGCTTTGATTTTTTTCTCCATTTAAATGGATGTTATTTATTTGTTCCGTGGTGACGATTTTTATTTTCTTTACACTAAAGTGCAACCCATACTGAAGGCTGTGGTCTTTGATCATCTTCAGTAAGTATTTTAAGTCCTCTTTGGCTTTCAGCAAGCAAGGTTGTATCATCTACATATGGCAGGTTGTTAATGAACCTTCCTCCAATCCTGATGCCATGTTTTTCTTCGTATAATCCAGCTTCTCTGATTATTTGTTCAACATACAGATTGAATAAATATGATGTACGAATACAACCCTGACATACACCTTTCCTGATTTTAAACCATTAGGTGTTCCCTTGTTCTGTCCGAACAACTGGTTCCTCATGAGCACAATTAAGTGTTCCGGAATACTCATACTTCACAATGGTGTCCATAGCTTGTCATAATCCACACAACTGAAAGCATTTGCATAGTCAATAAAGCACAAGTAAACATCCTTCTGGTATTCTCTGCTTTCAGCCAAGATCTATTTGACATCAGCAATGACATGCCTTGTTCGATGTTTCTCTTCTGAAACAGGCTTGAACCTCTAGAAGTCAATGTATGGTTGTAGCTGTTTTTGTATTACCTTAGTAAAAGTTTACTCACATGGGATATCAATGATATTGTCTGAAGACAACTGCATTCCATTGGGTCACCTCTTTTTGGAATGGGCACAAATATGGATCTCTTCTAATCATTTGATCAGGTAGTTGTCTTCCAATTTCTTAGCATAGATAAATGAGTGCCTCAAGTTTCGCATCAGTTTGTTGTAAGATTTCAATTTGTATTCTATCAATTCCTGGTGGTCTTTGCCAATGACTTCAATG